CACTTCCACCTTCCTCCACCTCTTATTCTAACAAGTGTACCTCCTGTAGGGATGAGTGGCCCCACCAAAGGAGACACGGAATCATCTCCAGGGACTATGAAGTCATGGGCAGAAAATTCAAGGACTTGGGGGACCAGGTGCTATTTTCTTTTCTTCTTACAAAAGAAAACTGGTACTATGGAATAGAAAAGAATATACGGAAGATGAAATGGCTGCCTATTGAGATGGAATTTTAGAATAGGATTTGTCTTGTCTGGATCATAGTTTAAAATACTAGATTGCTGGGCTCCTGGCTAGAGACAGAGTTCTCTGTGATAACTGGGACAAATGTGCTTACCCAGAGCCTTGCTGATCTGATAAAGAGAACTTTAAATTGAAAATGTCCTGATAATATTATAAAATCAATTACTATGGATGATATCAGATATGACAACGAGAACAGCACTGGAAGAGGTGCCCATTTAGTCACAGAAGAATACGTCTGGGGAGAGTCATAAATAGAACTTACGGCTGAAGTTGTTTCTGCATCAATACACAGCACATACATTGGGTTGAGCCATATGAAATTGCCAATATTCAACCATTTTTGACCTACAAAAATGGCAACTTCATATGGTTCAACCTAATATTACAAAGTAAACTTGACATTTTAACTCAAGGTAATAAATATCAGCCAAGAGGTATCATTAAGACTTGGAGGAATGAAACAATTGGAATTTGGGAATTGGGAGGAGCACACTGTTAAGAAGAAAGGCGCCTTTGAGAATGGGAGATGACATTGTGCTATATGCACAGAAACCCACAAATGTAAGGACAGAGCCCTCTACAGAGTTTGGTTAAAAGGAGAAAGGAGCAGGAGTCATGTAGTGTTAGCACATCACATAGCACCCTACAAAGTGGGGGAACCAATGAAGGATTCCTGGTGCAGCTTACAAAAATGGCACAGGGCAAGATCCAGCAGCAATGAGGGACTTTGTCCAGTGCTGCTATAAATTTCATTGGCCTAAAAGAAGAACACTGAGAAATTCTTTACTTGTCTTGTTGACAGTATTACCCCTCAGAAAGTAAAGAAATCAACAAGAAGGACTGTTTGCTCTTCATGACCTAATTCTGACCAATAATGAAGAACTGATTGGTGAAATGGAAACTTGAAGAGCAACACTATTAACTCAGAGTTTTTAAGAGCATAAGGCCAGACGTGGTAAGGTATTTTGCCCTAGAATTCAAGAAAGAAGACTTCAAACGATTAGAGAAAATAAAAGTGGCGTGAGGGCAAAGAAAGAGCGGGCTCCAATAGATCTAGCTTTAACTCATGGCTCTGCCATTTTCTGGCTGTGTGACCTTGGTTAAATTACTTAAACTCTCTGAGGGTCAATTCCCCACAGGACTGACAAGGGAGAGAGGGAAAGAGAAAGAAGGAGGGAAGGAAGAGCAACAGAAGGACACTCCCTCCTTCTCGGGGTTGTCATGGCAGTTAGATGAGATAGCACATGTGAAATGCTTAGCGCTTGGTAGGTATGCATTAATTGTTAGTTTCCTTGCACTTTCTATTTGGCCACCTTCCCAAAAGGGTTGAAAGGCCTGGAAACTAAATTATGACCACATAATTGTGAAGTATTTTAATGAAGAGGTAGAAGGAAAGGTATTTAAAGAAAATGATGTAAATGCACAGAGAATTCTTTGATAATGAGACATTGAAAAGGTGGAAAGAAGGGCATCTGACCAAGGATGGATTTAAAATAGTAACATGGAACTGCCAAAACCGTATCAGGAAGGCCTGACCCAAAGTGAGTTAATTCTAGGAGTAAGAAAAAGAGGCTGTTTTCAGTTTTGTTGGCATCAAGAAGCAAATGAAGGAGACCTTAAAGTCTGCAAGTTGGGGCAGATAGTATGTATTGTTTTAACTAAAATTAGCTTTTAAAATTATAAACATAATACAAGCACATGTAAAAAGAATTCCAATAGTACCACAGCGTGTAAAATGAGAAAGGAAATGGCGTAATGTTGCCAGACCACAAAGATAGAGAGAACCTCTTCCATTCCTAGTTTGCTTTGACTTCTCCACCCTACAAATTCTGTACGTCAGGCTGGAAAGCATCGAGCAGACATTGGGCAGAGGGAACTGAGGATCACAGCAAGGAAACAAATTGTCTGATTTTGAGTCTTTTGGCCCGGACAAATTATATTTGGGGACGATGAGGGAACCTGTAGATGAGATCACTGCACTGGTGTTTGTAACCTTTGGGGCACCATGGGGCATAAGAAAGATGCTGGAAGCCTACATAAGGACATATGCTCCTTTTTAAAGAGAAGATGATAGATATCACAAGCTTTAGACAGGTAGGTTTCATCTTAATCACAGGCAAGTTTCTAGAATACATTATGGGAAGGGATGGTTTGCATGAGACCTAGAAGGGAACTAGTGATCACAACGGGTTCATAAAAGCCTTTACCTAAGAAAAGCTCAAGACAGACTAAGCTCACTTATGAGCTTAGTAAATGTGAATGGGTAAAGCAGAGGACTGTTGTAGACAGAGTGTATCTGGATTCGAGCAAGGCATTGACAAAGTCACTCATGATATCTTTGTGAAAAAAATAGGAAAAATGTAGATAGTATAATTACTGAATGGGTGAATGATCATCCCAGAGTCTGCTAATTAATGGATTGATATTTAATTTATTTAGGTACTAGTTTATTATCTGTCGCCCCCCACTCGGATGGAAGCTCCTCAAAGGAGAGACTTGTCCTCTACTTTGCTCATGACTTTATCCCCAGTACCTCTAACAGTGTCCAGCGCAGAGCAGAAAGTGTTCAGGAAGAATTTGTTGCACGAATGAATGAACTTGGAGGTGGGACTGCAAGGCATGTTCCCAAGCTTTGTCTCAGCCCACTCCTATTCAGTGTGTTTTATCATTTATCTGGATAAAGACATTAGATGACATGCTGACAAAATATACAGATGACATGGGTCTGAGAGGGATAACAACATAATAAAGAGAGCCTCTCTCCAAAAAGAACAACTGGCAAGAGCAATTAAATCATGATAAATGCACTTAGATGAAAAAAACTGGAAATACGCGTTGAGACATTAATTAATGGCAGTATGCATGAAAAAAGACTTAGAAATTTTCATTCATTCTTTCAACAACTCTTTATTGAAAGTGCCAGGCACTGTGGATATACAGTGGTGAGGCAAACATACTGTCTGCCCACATGGAACTTAACTAAGACTATTGAGGGAGACAGATATTAATCAACTCAGTCCATAAAGAAATACATATTTACAGACTGTGAAGAATAAAACAGAGTGCTAGGAGAGCATATGACAAGAGAACCTGACCTGGTCAGGGAAGGTTTCTCTGAGGAACTGACACTTGAGCTGACTTCTCTAAGCTAAGTAGGAATAAACCAAAGTGAAGGCAAGGGAGACTAAACAGTAAGCCCAGTGAGTCAACAATATGAAATGCCTGCTTAAATGTGAGTGCGGTCCCTTGCCCTTTCCCTTGGTGGGCGCTCAGCTAGAGACTCAGCTTGCTTGCTTGCTTGCTCAGCTGAAGACTTGGCCAGAGTGTCTGCCAGGGCTCAGGCCTAAGGGACAGCCCTCATGGTCAGAATGGCAGGCTTAGGATTGAGGAGACAGCTGCATGCCTGAGAGATTGTCCTCAAACAGGGATATTGAGCAAATAAGTGAATATTTGAGGGTAACAGGAGCCAAGTTTCTCAATGTTGGAAGAGAGAGTTGCAAATATGGAAAGGAAGGAAGGCTAGAATAAACCCTCTGGTGTTGGATTCAAAATGGAGTTATCAGTATGAACTCAGTTTTATATACACTGTGTGTGTCTGTCTATATATATATATATATATATACATATATAAATTCATATGCATGTACACACACACACACACACACACTTATTTCCTAGCTCTGTCCACTGAGAGGACCTAGAAATAATAGCATCCCAGTAACAATGAGTACACCTAGCACCCAGATCTTGGGCACTAACTACCATTCTCCATTAAAAGAAACCAGGGATCCTTGGAGAAATTACTGATTCCAGTGCTGGGGCAGGAAAGTACAAGATGAGCTTGGAAGATGTTATTGGGTCACAAAGTAAGGAGGTTTTCAAAGAATGATGGGGACATGTCAAAAGGACAGAGGAACCAGCTTTGATCAGAAAAATAATGATAATAGTGGATTATGTCATTGACTAAATAGAAATCCATTAGTCTGTACTAAAACATTTTTTTGTTTTATTAAGATTATGATAGTTTACAACCTTGTGAAATTTCAGTTGTACATTATTGTTAGTCATGTTGTAGGTACACAACTTCACCCTTTGTGCCCTACCCCCAACCCCCCAGTAACCACCAATCAGTTCTCTTTGTCTCTATGTTTAACTTCCACCTATGAGTGGAGTCATACAGAGTTCGTCTTTCTCTATCTGGCTTATTTCACTTAACATAATACCCTCAAGGTCCATCCATGTTGTTGTGAATGGGACGATTTTGTCCTTTTTTATGGCTGAGTAGTATTAACACATTTTTTTAAAGATTTTATTATTTTTCCTTTTTCTCCCCAAAGCCCCCCGGTAGATAGCTGTGGTTTTTTTTTTTTTTTTTTTTTTTTGAGGCAGATTAGCCCTGAGCTAACTGCTGCCAATCCTCCTCTTTTTGCTGAGGAAGACTGGCCCTGAGCTAACATCCGTGCCCATCTTCCTCTACTTTATATGTGGGACGCCTACCACAGCGTGGCTTGCTGAGTGGCGCCATGTCTACACCCGGGATCCGAACTGGCGAGCCCCAGGCCGCCGTAGCGGAACGTGCGCACTTAACTGCTGTGCCACCAGGCCAGCCCCCGTAGTTGTGTATTTTTAGTTGTGGGTCCTTGTAGTTGTGGCATGTGGGATGCCGCCTCCGCGTGGCTTGATGAGCGGTGCCATGTCCGTGCCCAGGATCTGAACTGGCAAAACCCTGGGCTGCTGAAGCAGAGCGCGCGAACTTAACCATTAGGCCACGGGGCTGGCCCCTGTACTAAAACATTTTAAAAACATGAATAAATAAGTGGGGGTGAAGAAAATGCTCTACCTAATAAACACCAACTAATAACTGAAGAGGGAATGATGGAAATTAAAAAATTAACATTTAGTAACCATCATAGTAAAAACAGATTCAGGCATGAATCATCAATGGATGCCAAAACTACTGAGTGAAAGTTTAATGAGGAACAGAATATTTGGTTTCAAAGTATCTTTCACAAAGTACTTCATAATTACTTTTTAATCACTAAGCACCTGGTAGACACCACCTTAACTTTAAGCAGTGATGGGACAAATTGACACCGTATGTCTATTGGTGTGCTACACCAAGAAGAACACATCACTTTTGTGGTATGCCTACCAAAAAGGCAAAAACTGAATCTAATCATCAGGAAACATCAGACACACCCAAAGTGAGGTTCATGCTACAACATAATTAGCCTCTACTCTTCAAAAATGTCAAGGTCATGAAAGGTAAAGAAAGACTGAGGAACTGTTTTAGTCTGCAGGAGATGAAAGAGACGTGACAACTAAATGCAACTTTTATGAAGGATTTTATTAGGACAATCAGTGAAATTCGAATGGGGTCTGTGGATTAGATGGTAGAATTCTATCACTGTTCATTTCCTGATCTTGATGGTTGTATTGTGGTCATGTAAGAGAGTATCTTTGTTTTTAGGAACAATACACTGAGGTACTAAGGAGTAATGGAGCAAGACGTCTGCAAATTAACCTCAAAGGGTTCAGAAAGAAACGCAGAGAGAGAACAATAAGGCAACATGGTAAAATATTGACAAATGGGGAAGCTGGGTGAAGGGTTATGGCAATTCTTTGTGCTTACTTGCACCTTTTCTGTAAGTGTGAAACAATTTCAAAATCAAAAGTTAAAAAATGTTAATATAAATCAGCTGGGGAAGAAAAGCCACTGTGGTCTTGCAGTGCACCAGTGCAGGTCTAGCCAGAAAGCGGCTGCTGAGCTCTGTGTGGGTCAGAGCTCACCGCTCTTGGAAGGCGAGGTGACCACGTCCTGTGAGGAACAGGTGTGGGGTCTGAGGAGGTTTAACCGGAAGAAGAAAAAGCCAAGAGGACAGGGAGGGGCCTGACTCCTGTCTTCAGTCTCCAAAGGGCATCTGGGACAGAGAAAGCACACTTGTTCTAGGGAGACTAATTTCTGTTCAGTTTGAGGAAGGGCTTTTTACCAATTAGCAAAAAAGGTAGATTGAACTATCTCAGGAGTTCCCTGTCATCGGATATGTTCTGATAGAGACTGGATTCTCAAGGATGTCATAGATTTCAGGACTCCGATCAATGCCCAAAGACCGCTAAGGTCCTCCTGATGAAGAGCCTGTGGTTCTCTGTCATTTTCAGGTATCGGGAATTTGAGCACTTCTGGAAAAAAAGGCACCCTGTGTTGGACCGAGGTGAACACTCCCTTTTGTTCACATGGGGCATGAATCATCTTGCTCTCACATGGGCTATTTCAATATATATACTTCTTGGCACTTTGGGAAATTCATTTGTCCTCAGAAATGAGCAGTAAAAGCAACAGTAAAAGCCAAAATACTTTTATTTTAGAAAATTTCATTTAACAACATGAAAATAGGGCCTGAGAAAAGAGAAACAAAAGCTCAAGAGAAAGTTTCGCAAGAATTTAAATATTCAACATCTCAGGACCATAGATCTTCTTCAAGTTGCTGTCAGCTTGCCTGCTCCTATGCCTTGTTCCAGTGGTTCTCACTCTTTATTAAAAAGTGAGCCCTTGTTTTTATCTAATGCTTCCACAAGCTGGCTATACAGAACATTCATCTGGGAAAGAGAATAGCAAATAGATTCCTTCAGAGGAAAGGAAATGTGGGGAAGCGTCCCGGACCCACGGTGATGGCTAGCGAGTCTAACCCTTACCTTCCGAGATTTGAGGAGCCACTTTGGGGAGAAAATACAGTACTCTCTTGGGGAAGAGGGATCCCATCACATGAGGTCCGTTTACTAGGGACAGGCGGCTATCATAAGGGAGAAGGTACTTAAAACATAAAAGATCCTTTGCTCTTACTTGGTAATAAGAGTTTTTCTCCCCAGAGCCTCTCCTGGTTAGCTAATGGCCCACAAGTCTGAAACTCAGACTAGTTCCTAGAGAGAATGCCTTTTTAAACAGTCGCGTTTGCTCAGAGGCCAATCCTTCCCTACATGCACCAGCAGTGACAGTGATGTGTCTTTCCAGCGCTCACCCTTGGCATTCCTCTTAATTAGATTCCATTTGCTAGCCCTCAATTCCCCCACGTTCACCATCCTTCCTGGTTTCTACTCTTAGAAATTACTACTTACAGTCCCCTAACTCTTGCAGCTCTCTGGAACCACTGAGAGGAACGACAATCAAGATCCTTTCCTAGTCAAGCAAGGTAGAGTCCCACTGAGAGCCCCGGTAGAACCCCGCTGCCGCCCGAGTCATGCCGTCCACCCAGGCCATCTCCCTCCTCACCTGAATTTCATAGCTTCTCCTGAGGGAGCCAAGGTGGTCAAGGAAGCGCAATGCCAGGCTGCACCATTTTTCAGCAGATACATACTTGCTACTGCCGTACATAAATATTCCAATATTCCAGGACTTGACCATCAGCCAGAGAATCTCCGTTTCTGGGTAGCCTTCCTGAAATCCAAGAGCAGTGGGTTTACAGTTAGAATGGTCACAATCATGTGGCACTGACTATCAGTGCTGCATCCCATTATTATTTTACAAACAATGGTGCTCTGCTAACACCAAGGAAGGAGCCACAGGGCCCATGAGCAGTGCCCTGCCCCTGGAGAGTAGCAGGTGAGCACCTTGAAGGTTTGGTCAGCTGTAGAACGCTCCACAGCAAGACTTCATGAAGTGACATACAAACTGGAAAAGCGACGAGGCCCTCTTGGACTGAGGCCTGGTCTCCCTGAAGCAGGAGAAAATCCTGTATCCTGTTTGGGGCTTCCCTTGGTGCTGTCCTCAGTCAGTTATCTCCCCAAAACCTACCTCTAATTTTCAGACAAGGTTATCAAGAAGCAGTTTTATTGAATTTCTTAATTTCCTTGACCTGAATCAGTCTGTTTTTGGAATAGAAATTGTATTAATCTTTATTTTTTGCAAATATATAGAAAGATTTATTTTAAGGAACTGGCTCACACAATCACGGGGGCTGGCAAGTTTGAAATCGTAGGTAGGCCAGCAGGCTGTAAATTCAGGTAAGAGTTGATGTTGCAATCTTGAGTCTGAAGTCTGTAGGGCAAGCCAGCAGGCCGGAAACTCAGGCGGGATTTCTATGTTACAGTCTTGAGGCAGAATTCCTTGTCCGGGAAAACAGATTATGAGGGTAATCTGTTTTACTTAAAGTCAATTGATTGTAATTTTTTAAAATATTAATCTTTAGTGTTGACAATATCTACCTAGCCATGAACAAAGGGCACATTTCTAAGATGGCCCCTTCTCTCTGAGTGGTCTTTAACATGGCTGATCACAAGGTTTTCCAATAGTGACAAGGATTAGTCTCAGGAGATACTTTCTCAGAATGTGTATAGGAGATGGGCCGCGAAGGGGGCATTCGCGTGCTCGTTCCATGTTAAAGCCCTTCATCTACTCGACAGGTCTCAGGCCCCTGGAGGGGGAAATGTGGTAGAAGACTTAGGCAGCAGTTTCTTGAGAGCGTCCATGACCTCGTCTCAGCTATAATTCTTTCACTCATTTGGGTCTATAAAAATTACTGTGCATGAAACACTATGAGGAGGGTGCTAAGAGGGACAAGACAAAGCTCTTGTCCTAAAGGACACATAGTGCCTTTGGCGAGACAAGGCATCCACATATAAAGAGGACCACACAGAGTATGTGATTAAGGGCTAGTGAGAGTGACACATGCATTAGGTGTTCTAGTTCAGTAGAAGAAACACGCATTAGGCTGGCACAGTCAGAAGAAGTCTGGTCTCTGCTTGAAATGCCACCTCCCATCCTTGTCCACTTGGTAAACCTCTACTTTTTTTCAAATTCACAAGCAGAATTAGTTACTTCTCTCTCTCTGTTCCCATAACAAGCTTTACACTCCTCTATAAACTTATATCACATTGTTTTGAAACTGTTTATATATTTATCTCCTCCTCCAGACTGTCGAGCTCCTTGAGGTGCAGGGAAGTTTTCCTGTTCATCTTTATATCCTCAGAGTCCAGCATTGCACCTGGCCCATGATAGGAGCACAATAGGTGTTTGCTGAATGAAGAAATTAATGAAAGAGTGAACAAATGAATCAATATCCAGTCAAATGCTGCCTCCTCAGTGAGGCTTTCCCCGACTCTCCACAATTCATTATTCACAGCGCTTTATCCTACGGCACTTTGTTCGCAGCACTGCACCAGCACTTCCAACACTGTATCGTCTGTCTCCTCCACCAGGCTGGGAGTTCCTTGAAGGTGGAATGTCATCTACCCTTGTGTATCTACAGCCTGGCACAGTGTCTGACAGCGTTGTGATTTTAACTGAAGGAATGAACAGATGACTGAACAGACGACTGAACAGACATGGTCTTAGGGTAGATGAACAGCATCTCGATACACAGAGGTCATATGAAATGTCCAGAAGAGGCAGATCCATCGAGACAGAAAGCAGATTGGTGCTTGCCAGGGCTTTGGGCAGGGGGATGGGGAGTGACTGCTAATGGGTGTGGGGCTTCTTTTTGGGGTGATAAAAACGTTCTGGAATTAGATACTGGTGATAGTTGCCCATTTTGTGAATATACTAAAAACCACTAAGTTGTATACTTTAAAATTGTGAATTTTGTGATATATGAATTATATCTCAAAAAAAAATTACAGATATACAGAGAAAGAGAAAGGCATTCCATATGGTTAGAACAGAATAAATAAAGACTTGGATTGTGCTTGAGACTGAGCATGTCTCAGGGAGATTAATAGTTGTTTGGCCTAAGCAGACAATTTATGTAGGGAAATTAACGGGAAATAGGACTGGAAATGTAGGATGGGGCTACCTAAGCAGTTCCTAAAGCTTTTCCTCAGAACACTAGTGTCATGGAAAATGTTAACAGATGGTCAATAAAAATAGAATTCTTTAGTCAAATGTGTCTTGGAAGTGCTGCATGCTATATACACCCTCTTGGAGTGTTATAATGCACAGTAGTTCGTTCATTAAAAGTTCTAGGAAGTTTTATAGTAAGGAAACCATGTAACTTTGCTTAAGCTAGGGTATATAGATCGTTTACTAACATCTTGCGGGATGTAATTTGTAAAACGTTGGACTGGAGTGTAAAGGGTTTTGCATTTCAGGCCACAGATTTTGGAATTTATTCTGCTGGCAATGAGAAGTCACTGAAACTTTTTGAGAAGGGAAGTGATAGGATGAAATTAGAATTTTAAGAAGACTGAAATGCCAGGACCTAAGTGTGAGGAAACACAGATAGTTAGACCTGTTTAAATGAAGTTTTAAGAGTCTAAGAATGAAGTGACGAGGGTCAGAAACAAAATAGTGACAATGGAAATGGAAAGATGTAAGAAACATTCTAAAGAAGAATCAACAGAACTTGGTAACTGATTTGATATGGGGAATGAAGGATAGGTCAGTTGGAAATGGCTCTAAAGTACATAGTTTGAGTGGCTGAGACAATGCTGATATGATTCAAAGAAGAAAATGGAAGGAAATGTTTCTGGGGATAAAAGATCAAGATAATGATAAGTTCTATTTTAATCATGTTACAATTGAGGTAACTGGAGATATCATGTAGGCTGTTGCAGATATGGACTGGAGTTCAGGTAACAGTTGAGTGTATCAATTCACTTAAAACAGAGTATAGAATATAGAGAAGGAAAGAATAGAGCAATATTGGAAACATTCATAGTTGTGTGGTAAGAGGGAAAAGACAACACAGAGGCGTGGTGAGAAAATAAAGGACAAAGGAAAAGAGAATTTCACTAAGGAGACAGTGGTCAATAATGAAAGCCAGGGTAAAGAAAGAGGCCATCAAATTTGTCTAGGAGGTGGTAATTAGTGGCCTTGTGGAGTGCGGGGTGGCTAACAGTCAGGGAAAGAGTGGCTCAGAATGAGGACAGACAGGTAAGCAGGGCCTTGTAGGCCACATTCAGGATTTTGGTCAAGACCAATGGGAAACTACTGAAGAAGATTAAGCAAGGTCGCACATATTTGAAAATTTAAAAGATCACTCTGGTTGCTGGATGGAGAAACGTATAGAAGAAAGCAAGAGATGCAAGGAGACCAGCTAAAAGGTTCCTGCAGTAGCTGAGGCAAAAGATAACTTGAGCTGGGTTGCTGATGGTGGAAGATGGGAAGAAGTGAATGAATTTGAGATATTTAGGAGGTAGAATTAACAGGACTTGGTGATGGATTAGAAATGGGAGTAAGGGAGGAGTTGAGGGTGAGTCCTCGATGTCTGGCTTGGCAACTGGAAGACTGATAGTGTCATTCAGTGAGTTAGGGAATACTGGAAGAATTTTATTTTCATTTGCATTCGCTGCCCTCATGTCCAGCATTGCTCAGGAGAAACATTAATCTTTAATTAAAAAAAAATGCATCCATGCAGTTACTCACCCCAAAATGACATAGACTTGCCCAGGTGAAATGCAAATCAATGCCAGCAAACAGAGGCGTTTGCTCTTATGACTTTCTGGGGCTCATATTTGAAGCCAGTTTTCTCTGTCCTCAACATCTTCAAATATATGGCAGTCCTACATATATCTAACAAAATTGTAGGTGTTCTGGAACACAAATGCCTGTCTTTTTAGGCTCTCCACAGGGTTCCTGAAGTGAATATTGTGTACATCAGCTTTACTAAGATAAAATTCACATACCATACAATTTACCTAAAGTGTACAATTCAATGGTTTTTAGTATAGTCACAGAGTTCTGCAAACATCCCCACAATCAATTTTAGAACATTTTCATCCCCCTAAAAGGAAACCGTGTGCCCATTAGCAGTCACTCCCCATTTCCTCCAATACAGGCCCCCACCATCCCTAGGCAGCTACTAATCTAATTTCTCTCTCTCATAGATTGGCCTATTCTGGGCATTTTAGATAAATGGAGTCACACAGTATGTAGGCCTTATGACTGACATCTTTCACTTAGCATAACGTTTTCCAGGTCCATCAATGTTGTAGCATGTGTCAGTACTATACCACATTTTGTTTGTCCATTCATCAGTTGATAGACATTTGAGTTGTTTCCATTTTTGGCTATTATGAATAATGCTGATATGAACATTTGTGTATGAGTCTTTGTTTGGCATATATTTTCATTTCTTATGGGTATATACCTAGAAGTGAAATTCCTGGGTCATGTGGTAATTCTATGTTTAACCTTCTGAGGAAATACCAGACTGTTTTCCAAAGCAGCTGTACCATTTTACAATCACACAGTGTATGAGGGTATCAATTTCTCCACACCCTTGTCCATACTCATTATCTTTTTGATTATAGCCATCTTAGTGGGTGTCACGTGGTAGATCATTGTGTTTTTATTGGCCTATCTCAGATGACTAATGATGTCAAGAATCTTTCCATATGCTTATTGGTCATTTGAACATCTTCTTTGGAGAAATGTCTATTCAGATCCTTTGCCCATTAAAAAAATTTAGTTGTCTTTATATTATTGAGTTATGAGAGTTC